GTTTTCTTATTACAACATGTTTGTGTCTGTGTTCTGAGGTGCCCTCAGGCTAATTTTTTTAAGATCTGCTGGTTTGTGAAGAAAAAAAGATTGTTTACAGAATACCTGGCATAGTCATTTGCTAAGTTTCTTATCAGCATGATCTGTCCAACATAGCACCAGCAAAAATGCAAAAAACTTTTATGTGTGCCAGAAAGATGTTTATATGTGCCCATAGGAATTTTTGTATGCCAACAATAATATTTTGGATCCATCTTTGAACCCAGGGAATGTCACTTCACCATAGGCTAGATAATGAGCAGTAGAATTCTAGAAAGTTTGCCCTTTTCCTTCACCATGTTCACATTGATCAGTTTGATACTGAGCATATTGAGGATACCCTTTGAATTTGAGAATCCCACTTTCAATTTTGTGAATCATACTCTGATACTGTTTATAAGTACATTGATATAACATTTATATATTGTCAAACACTGCTGTGTCGAAGTTGAAGGGACCTATGTAAGTTCGCAGAGACCAAGCTTTTGCTTCGAGATAACTGTAAGCATGGTAAGTCCAACACATCAAAGTTCGACACAAAGGTGTTTGACTGCATTCCTCATTTTCCATGAGTTGATCCAGCTTACTTGTGAAAAGCCAGGGTTGGTTGGTTGGTTTGTTGTTTAACGCCACACTCAGCAATATTCCAGCTATATGACGGCAGTCTGTAAATAATCGAGTCTGGACCAGACAATCCAGTGATTAATATGATGAGCATCGATCCACACAATTGGGATCGATGACATGCATCAACCAAGTCAGCGAGCCTGACCACCCGATTCGGTTGGTTGCCTCTTACGACAAGCATAGTCGCCTTTTACGGCAAGCATGGGTTGCTGAAGACCTAATCTACTCCAGATCTTCACGGGTCGCAAAGGCAGGGATAATTCTAGGGTCGGGCCTTGTGCTTTTAGCCTCTAAATTTGAAAAAAGGCCCACATTTTCAAATACAATGGGGGGTTATAACATTGTCCTGTATGGGCAAGTGTGGGTGTACCTCTGGAATATTTTAAATTTCCACATTAAGGGCCCATGTCAGAAAATTCCTAGAGTGAACCCTGCAAAAGTATATTTATCTTTGACGTCATGAACCATCATTACAAGGTACATGTATACTCACCGCCTATAGAAACACGAACCACAAAAACACATAGAGAAGTATGTACGTTAAAAAGAGATGTTTCCAATGTGTACCAATTAATGAAAAAACTAACATTCAGTCAAGTGTTACCACAGAGTGTCTTTATTCTTATCACAGTATGCTGCACATGATTTCCAAATTTTACACGCTAATCCTGCACGTGACAAATGGTGCATCTCGAGTCATGGATCTATGACGTCACATGTGATGCTTTCATGAGCGTCGGTTCACACAATATACCAGTATGTTCGTTTGTGCATCAAACCAATCTAATATCTCTTGAATATGAGTAATTCTTCATATATTAAATAGCATGTACATGATGTATGGTATTCTCGTTTCTGTTATCAGTGAGTATATTTATAACAAAATAATAACATGACCTATAAGAGTGTCCTTCAGCATGTTCAGGCACTGGGAATGTCTTTGAACCATGCCACACTGGTGCCATCTAACCATCAGTCTAAACTTGAGTTAAAGAATCCGACGTTATTTATGAATATTAGATGCGCGTGTGAACAATGATCTTGATAAGTTCAATCATGCGAGTTATATCAACAATATATGACATGGGTATTTACTTTTACATCCCATGTATACCCTAGCAACAGAAAGAACTACAACAATATTAAGTACAAAAGTAAATAGGAAAACAGCCATTATTCAATGAGACAGAGATAGCTGTCAGCATGGTCAGCTTACTACAAGGCCATGTATGGACTGGTTGGAAACTGATTTATCCATGTTATCTGTTAAAAATGATTTCTTTTACAAAGTTTTACCTGCACATGAAGTTTATTGTTTTAACCATATTAACATCTGACTATAGTTAAACAGATGAACTCTTAGAATGTTTGAAAGAAGGTAAAAATGGGTTGCTGCACATGCCAAATCATTGACAGGTAAATATTTTCTTTAAGTTAGTTTTAACCGTAAACCCGTGCAACTCTTCAATGAGCATTGCCATGACTGCTACCTTCGCAGTATCAGTACACGTAATCCAATATTGACAATCTACTTGCAAAATCATGTAGTTTTACCTTGTTCTAAAGCGTTCTGAATAAACAAGGTGATTAGAAAACAGATGCAACACCAATCATGCCAATCTGAAAGTAAGTCTTAAGGTAAGTCCTACCTGACAGATTTTTAGTGTTGAATATCCACATGATGTAAATGTAGTGAACACATTATCATAACAACAAGAACATTACTTTTTAAAAAGAGCCACAAGGCTGTAGCTCACCTACATTTATTTTTAAATATTATATTACTTTTATCATGTTTATTAGATAAGCTCTGGCTTCACTTCTCTTGCACCAATACAGCATGTGATTTTAGCTACTAGTCCATAGCCCGAGTCTAGTTAATCTTCTTTCAGTCTAGTAAGCTTTGCAAATCAAAGTCTATACATTATCACTAAGTTCTACTGAAAAAAAATGTCAAGAGACAGGTTCCGACAAGTAGACTCGAAGTTTTAGGCACAGACAAGACCTGCATCACTTCGGGCTTTGTTCCCACATTAAGCTGACACGCCATGATATGACTGGAGTAATGTTAAAAGCGACGCTAAACCCAACTCACTCACTCACTTTAGGCACAGACTGACATTCAGAGTGAAACTGCCTGTAAAGGACAGCCCAAGGCCACCACTGGCCACCAGTTTGACAAATATTAAAAGAAACTATATCATTTTACAAAGCTGACATCTGCTAGGATCTTAAGCCTATGTATTCTGCATATAGATTTGGCAGTCAAAGTTTGCTCAAGCCTCATCTGAGCATGCTGATGTGGCTTCTCTAATACGCTAATTTTTGTAGCAGTTTTATAATGTTGCAACTCGCACATGGTTACATTTTACTTAATATGAAGCTTTAACATGACAAACACGGAGCCACCCTTGTCTCTCCTGTCAGAATTGACCACATGTGATCTGGACAAATTAACATGATTACTGGGATAATTGTTACCCCTTTTTAAAAATAATAATCTGAGATACAGGGATGTAGCTGAGGCCTTTTTCAAGTTTTGGCAACTTTGGAGATATATAAAGTGAGAAATAATTTAGCGAGGACTCCAGAAGGATCAGCCTCCATATCTATGCATGTAGACCTCCGCGGCTTGGGGTCTTTTCCCCAATTTAGAACGGTTGGATTTGACTGAAATCTGTCCATATTGTTACCTCGTTTCATTTTGTTGCTGTGTGGACTCTGACCGCATTTCATAACGCTTTAACCGACCAGGCAGGCTCTAAACAAACATGGACTAGACTCTAGATAGCTAGCGGACTAATATATTGCCAAAAAAGCAAGTAGATAAAATATGTGTAGGCAATTGTTTTTTTGCACATATGTAGTTACATTAGTGTCTAAAAACATGTTTCAGTTGGAACTATATCACTTGTTGTCACTGTCCGACTGACTAATCACTGACCTTCTGACATAGTTAGTATATATGCGCACATTCCTGGAAAGCTTGCAATGTTTAGGTATTATTAGTGTCAGCTTAGAATAGGTGTTTCGACGACAGAATTTAAGAATGACATCTTCATGATCATATGACAAAGCCAAGGCTCACAAAATACAATGTATATTCCAAGGGTTAAATGTGACGCACAAATATGCATCCAGTATGCACAAATGTAGAGAATTGAATATTTATAGTACCTACAGTGCATCCAGAGCAGTTATGGGTATTTCTTATTTCATCCATCATTGATATACATGTACTAGAGCCATTAAAATCAAAATTTTGTATGTTAAGGTAAAATCCTGATTCCTAATACAGGATATTTACCATCACAGACACACTCATTCGATAACCTCGATCTGTATCAATGACTACTTTCACAAAGACCACACTTTCACAAAGCCCACACTTGCACGTACATATAGGTTCACTTGCACAAAGTGATCCTAGAGCCATACTTTGACAAGACTTGCGATATATTATACCATATATATATATATTGACCCTGTAGTAGGGCTGGGACAAGTCCAAATATACTACCTGGGTACCCGGCCCCCTATTACCCTACCCTACCCTACCCGGGTACCCACTGTAGGTCTCAGGAGATGTCTCAAAATGTCCGATTGGGAATTTTTTTTGCATAGCCCTGGCAAAACGTATTTAGATACATGTATTAAACAATCTGGTCCTGCATACACTGAAGCTGGATTAAGTTATATCTTTATTCAACCATATGAAAAATCAGTAGGAATGGGTGCATAGTCAGAAAGAAAAACAAACATTAATGACTTGTAGTGTAACCATAGATTTCGAGATAAGTTTAGTCATTACACAATATATCACGTGACTAATCACTGGTCCGGGTAGTCCTGTGGGTACCCAGGTCCTACTCAGTACCCACTCGACCCTACCCTTGTAGGCCTAGATGTTGGATGGCAAAAGCAGAGGACAACTGCACTATATACTGCCAATTTAAGTATGCGGGTATTGATTCACTTAATATAAAATCGTACAATTTCTCAATTTATTTTTCTCAACCAGAAGTTCAGTTACAGCATACATGCATCATGTATACACAAGAAAACTATCATTTTTTAACTGCTCTCCAGTAAAATAAACAGCATGCCTCTGGCAACACGCATGGGCTTGCATGATTTAAAGAGACAACGGTGTCCACCATGACTGCGATGACAATGGACAGAGACAATTTCTTCAGTTGCGATCAATAATGACAGTGGATGCAACGTGCTCCTCTGGCATCGGCGCCATCTTCTGACAGTTCTATAGAAAATCAGATTAGGTGCCGGGCTAAAAATAGATCTAAGACAAGATGGATTTGGGCAATCTTTCCTACCTCTCAGAAGGGCTGGTGGGGTCGAGATCTTCCTCGGTCGCCTCGTCATCTCCGTCTTTACTTCGACTTTTGACGGGTTTCAGACGTTGCCTCCAGTTGTGAGGGCCCTGGAAATCGCCATCCTCCTCCCCGAAACTGCCAGGGTCGCCAGTAGCAGCCCCATAATCCGAATCAGGCAGCGAAGTTGAGTTGGCGGGGGAGGCCATGATGAGTTCTCGAAGATGTCATGTACATCCCACTTCTAAAATGCGAAATTCTTTCTGACTGACAGCTTAAGATTTAAGGTCCTGGTGTTTTCAGAAAGATGACATTCAAATTAAGCTTACAAACGTTGTTTTCCATGCGATTGATGTTACACGACGATAGATTTCCTAGTCCAAAAATCTTCTTCCGGCGGGAATGTTCTTGTGATGGTATGTTTATGCAGCCTCGTTCTCAGCAGGGGAATTTTTAGAAATACTACCATAGAAAAACTAGTTTCCTTTGTATTGTGTCCCCAAAGGCGTCTGATGAAAAACATGTTTATTTTTATCATTATCAAAATATATTGACACAGGGATACATCTAGGATTGTCAAACTAAGTGACATTTGCAGGCAAAATTGGGAAATATAGTGATATTTTTCAAAAGTGGATTTTTAGCATTCTTACTTCATACAATCTGAGGAATTGAGAAAATTGTAATTTAATTTCGGCATTTCCTCTGTCATTTGCTCATATCGGCCTCTGAGCAGATCTAGATAAATCAATCTACATTTTCAGTAATATGTTGTTGTTAGTGCCCATTTCTTTGTACTTTTGTAGTCGGGTCTATCTATGTTTTTCGAGTGCATGGAGTGTGATTAATTCATATTGAAAACTGTTGGCTAAAGATCTATTTTTTTCGGAGACGCTCACAATTCTCTTTATTCGACACCACTGGTTCTGTGTAATGTAACAATCCATTAAACAAGTATCAGTCTCAGCCAGGCTCCACGGTCTGGTGGGCGCTTCACGTATATGATCATGTCTAGACACTGTAATTAGCACATTGTGTAAACTTTGGCCGCTATTTATCGCAATATCTACAACAAACGTGACTTTACAGACGAGAATATTGCGTACGCTGCGAAGTTATTGCCAATCTTAGCATTATTTTACTTTCTAAATGACTATGTATGACAGAGTTCATCAATATATAACTGAATAAACTGCTATAGTGAGTGAGTGAGTATGGTATTACGCCGCTTTTAGCAATATTCCAGCAATATCGCGGCGGGGGACACCGGAAATGGGCTTCATACATTTTACCCATGTCGGGAATAGAACCCGGGTCTTCAGCGTGACGAGCGAACGCTCTAACCACTAGGCTACCCGACCGCCCCGAATAAACTGCTATAAGCATGCATACTTACAATATAGGTCATGCACTTTATAAATCTTTCGTTACACGGGCCTACTTGAAGCTGTATCCAGTAATGCATTCAAATAATTAACATCGTCATTGTTCACGTGTTGTCGGGTTTAAAAACATTATAAATGTATATCAAACTGCATTTTCAACTGGTTAAGATATTCAGTCAAGTTTTACAATTCAAATATCACACAACAGGAGTAGCCAAATAATATTCTAAAACTAAATTCCGTAAACAATCGTATTTCATCTGAACATTCTATTATATCAGAACAATATTTCTTACCGTTAAAGAATACATTAAAAAATAGATTTGATGCATAAAAATAAATGAAATGGTGACATGTAAGAACTGCACTTTTACTTTGCAATTATTTACATTGATATTCCAGGTATCTTTGTAATTGTTTTCAATTCCTTTGTAGCATTTTTTTCAAGGAAATTATAGGTTGCTTGAAGTAGAATCCCTTCATTGATTTGGCAACTATTGCACCCCAACAGACATCACTCATTGTTTTATTAAAACATGCGTATATATGAATAAAATTATCACAAACTATATATCTCACTCTTTATATATAAGAAGTAATATACAATTCATATCATTTCAAGACCATACGACAGTTGTTCTTAAAATGAAAAGTAGTTGTTGGACAAGTAGCAGTAAATTTGGTCTCGCTGTGAATCGTGCTATTTTTAGATATGAGCAGGTGCTTGGCAGACTTCGTCATTGGATCTTTCGAAAGCTACACAGAAGCGAGTCTGTTTTCCAAAACAAGAAGAGGCATCATATGCTGTCTTTTTTATTGGGATAGTGTAATCTAAACATGCAATGGAAGGTCGACTGGCGGAGCGTTGCGCTGTCATTGATGTTGCAAGCTGTCAGAAATCGTATCTGGCGCCTTCGACTTGATCACACGGAAGCTGGGTCATTTGTTGTTGTTGACAACAAGGTCACATGTCACTGTTCTGCTGGTCACTTTCATGGCTGAGGGTACAGAAACTGAACTACTGTTTTAGCCACCGAATTTGAATTGTTGTAGCAATTAACGGACTTTTCACCTGGGTCATCGCGAGGAGTGCGTAGACAGGTAGGGACAAGTGAATGTCATTAAATACACGTTGACAATGTGAAGGTTAATCACACGAGTTAAAGTTTGCAAAGTTTCCTCAAGTTCGCGGCTCAAGCCGTCCATAGAAATACACACGTACAGAAATAAGTTTGCATGTCGTGAACAGACTATTGTTCTAATCAATTTGCTGCCAAACCTTGTCAAGGAATGCATGACTGATAGTAAAAGGTATTTCAAGGTATATATGTAATATTTTATAATCTATTTCACTTGTGTGAACAGGTTAATCGTTTATTTTATTTTAAAAGAATCCCATACCTGTGTATGATAGGCGACGATTTCTTTAATTTACACATACTTTGGTTGTTGTTGTTTTGTTACATAAACTAAACTAAACTAAACTGTTTATGTCTGAGGTGTATATAAAGAAATTGTCGCCAACAGTGTTTCTGATCATATGTACTTGAATATCAATAACTTAATAATGAGTCATGTACATGATCATGCAATGATTGAAAATTTTAAAATAAATTAAAATCTTGAAAATTATTTTACCTAAATCGTTATATATCTATACACTTGCATGATATTTAAATTTATTTTTCAGATTGATTAAGAAAATTATCCAAATTTAAGCTGTCAATGCCATATTCTGACTGTATTTTGGTTTTGTTACACTTTTATTTATTTCACAAAATTCATACTTAGCTATTATTATTGTATAATCAATATTGGCAAGCATGAACATGTAGACATGTATGTGTAAATGATTAAATATTATTGCAGATTTACTTGATGTTTGATTATAAAGCTGTCCCATGTACTGGTGACTAGGGCTAGGACGATACACCAACTGTGCGATTCAATACGTATCAGGATACAATGCTCACAAACCGATACGTATCATGATACTTGCATGTGCTCTTGTCTGTGGTGCATAAGCCTTCATTTTCAAAGACAGGAATCTTGCCAAATACCTGGCACACTGACAATTTACAGTTGGCAGTGTCAAATATAGTGCAATGGATGAAATATTTATGTTTTCACCACTAATTTTCATTACTAATTAGTGTTTGATGTAACAATTATTATAGCAATGATTTTAGGTATGAATCAATATTATTTACTTAGTGTGCGACTTGTGATCGACACTTGTAATGAGAAGTAAAAACCTGTGCTCCACTGATGTATCATCCCACTACTACTGAGTGAGTGAGTGAGTGAGTATGGTTTTACGCCGCTTTTAGCAATATTCCAGCAATATCATGGCGGGGGACACCAGAAATGAGCTTCACACATTGTACCCATGTCGGGAATCGAACCCGGGTCTTCGGCGTGACGAGCGAACGCTTTAACCACTAGGCTACCCGACCGCCCCCCCACTACTACTGATGACAGCCTCCGTGGTCTAGTGGTAGTGCATCTAGAGCAGAAGGTCTGGGTTTCAGTCCCTGGCTGCTTCATAACAAAAGATGTTAAAAGATGGTACATCTTGTTACCCTGCCTGGTGTTATAACAAGGACTGTTTGGCTTGGAGTCAGTATACTGTGTCTGAGTGGGGTATTCATGTTAATCTGCGGCATGGTGTCTCATTGGGCTAGCACTTAAAATCGGCATTAGTCTGGACTAATACAAGCAGCCACACACACACGTGCATGAACGTCACTATATAAGTGCAATAATTTTGAACATGAAGTTAAACCCCATTTCACCCACAGTCCACCTCACCATGTCCAGTGATAGAAGCTAACAGTTTTAGTCAACTAGTCCTCATGATGGTAACATATAGCAAAAACCCTAAAAAGGGTACATTTCTAATACAATGTAGTCCTTATGATACCTTAACTATTGGGCAGTTTGGCAAGGACTGCAGGACTAGTGGCAATTTCTATCACTGCCATGTAGTGATTTTTCCAATACGTGTAACATAATAAAGTTTGGGAAACTTTGCCGAGGGGAATTAAGACAAATCAAAGACTATATTTATGACTCATTTGTGCTTTTGGACATATTTTCTTATGTATTATAGATAGCTACTATTTTGGGGCTCTTGTTTTGGGGGGAAAAAGTGTGCGCCAACTTGTACAATAGTCTGGACTAATGCCGGTTTTATAGTGCTAGCCCACTGAGATACCATGCCACAGGTTAACATGGATACCCCACTCAGACACAGAGTGCCAACTCCGAGCTAACATGTCCTTGTTTTGTCCTCTTCGTGCCAAACACCAGGCAGGGTAACAACAAGTACCACCTTTTAACATCTTTTTGTATGAAGCATCCAGGGATCAAACAGCTGACCTTCCACTCTCCGGGCAGATGCTCAACATCACATGACCACAGAGGCAGTTTTATAAGTAAGACCGCCATATTGGATGACAATGGTGTATAAAGTCAGCTTGGAGGTCAATAAATAGAAAAGACATGCTTCATGACTTCTGAAAGTCACATTTCAATCTGTACATGAAACTTTCAAGGTTACTTAGACAGTAATGTGTGTAGTGAGATAAGACATTGAGCAAACTTGGCACCAACAATAAATTCCTGTGTAACACATTCCTAGATTTTGACTAAAGTGCATTTCACAATATTCATAGGGCTAAATATGTGAGTATGAAAAGTGAGATCCAGCACTGGCTAAAAAGCTGATGGGTGCTGTGATAGATCCTGTAAGTGTTGAACTGGCCTAGCAGAGCAATAAATCATCGTTATTCTCCCAGTTCCCTGGAAGCTGACAGGTACCTTTGTAAACTTATCTGTAACCAGAGGCAATGTTCACTGTTTTTCAACTCCTGAGTATTTCTGACCTGTTCCGAGTGCAAACTGTATTGCAGAACTGTGAATAGAAGCCTAGATAAGAGACAGGTCGTAATATGTTGCCTTGACTCCTGTTGCGGTAAGCTCTCCTAGTCTGTGATATGTGACACCAGGAGGAGAGCCAACTGCTGGCTTGTATATTGGAATCGGATCATAACTCTCGCCCAGAGCCTCACCTGGTTTTGTAATCTCCTAAATCTATTCTGACTGTCACTGAAGGCTTGGAGAGTTTTACACACTACCAGAATGCACTTGAACCTATAGTCTCGGTGCAGACAAGCAGCGCTGCAAGTCAATGGAGGCGGCCACAAGTAAAATAAAGTGTTTAAGCATGTTAACTGAGTTTTGATTGAGACAAAATATAAAGATGTGATGTAGAGTGTCACTCCCTGAGTTAAACATGGCCAGATTTAATGTCCTGGTAACAACGCTCATACAACAATTGGCTGACATATGAATTAAGGCTGAGACGGGTACTCGGGTCGAGTGGGTCCTGACTAGGACCCGGTACCCATAGGACTACCCGGACCCGTGGTTAGTCACGTGACTAGGACCCGGGTAGTCCTATGGGTACCCGGGTCCTAGTCAGGACCCATGGTTAGTCATGTGATATATTGTTTAATGACAAAAATTATCTAAAACTCTATGGTTACACTATAAGTCACTAATGTTCCCATTTCTTTCTGACAATGCACCCATTCCCTCTGACTTTTATATGTTTGAATAAAGATAAAACTTCAGTGTATGCATGGCCAGATCGTTTATCACATGTATCTAAATACATATTGGACAGTTTGTACCTATCTCTTAATATCTACAGCGGGTACCCGGGTAGGGTCGGGTAATAATGTGGTGGGTACCCGGGTAGTAAATTTGGACTCGTCCCAGCCCTAATATGAATGTTCCTATCACCCACAACGTAGGCCTGAAACAATATGTTTATCAGGAGACTTTTTATCACATATATATACATGTATCATGACTCTATACTTTGTTCGTGATGTTCGTTGTTCATGATGATTCAGTCAAACTCGCTTGTCTTGACACTTTCATTTTCTCAAATATTGTCGGGATGAACAACATTCCGGATATCTGAACCTTGTCATTTACCCCAACACCCACCCCACCCCCTGCCCCACCCAAATTCATTGGGGTCCAAAAAATATGTATCATATGTTTTGTTCATGATGATACGGTCAAACCTCACTTATCCGGACACTTTCATTTCCTCAAATATTGTCTGGATAAATGACTTTCATAATATCTGAAGCCTTGTCATGTGTGTGTGTGTGATGATATTTTGTTCATGATGATATATGTAGCATGATGCTTTGTTCATGGCAATAAGCACCTAGTTGATAGTGTGAATTTCCAAGGTTTACAAACAGAGACTGTCTAAGTAGGGTAAGTACCCGACTGAGACAGTGTTTGTTATTGCTGTGCCTTAATCACAAATACCACCACGTATTAGCCTTTCATATCATAAGCTGACCAGAACTGTGATGTCAGAGCTTTGTGTTGTGTACCAATTACTGGATCAGCCTGACACTGCCAGGAACCGTCACCTAGGAGTCAGTGAAGCATGGTGCTAGGGCTTCCCTCTGTGTCCAGCAAATAAGTTGGATAGTTTGTATAGAAACATGATTAAATGATACTTGGAGGTAGAGATAGCCAGGATCTGAGAGAGGAATGCAGGGTAGGGCTAGCTATCGGTATAGATTATAGTTATGATAATCGCTAACTAAATTGTTATCAGTTCTCGATAAATATTGGAGTAACTTTAAGCAAATATGCAGGTAAGTCCCGAGAGAAATCAACATATTTCACGCCACAGGTGGGCAGCGACACATTTATGCATAGATTGCTTTATGGACATTTCAGATAGAACAAAAACAGTTGCTTTCTGACTTTGACAATTGACATTATTGACAATAACAAGTCTGTTTCGGTAAATCTGAACTTTATTTCATCACAATTGTTTGTATAAGTTATTATTGATAATTTCATATCAATTGATAATCTTGATATGTCTTACCATCGATGAAAATTCCAATTGTCAATCTTTTTAGCCAGCCCTAATGCAGAGATTTATCTATGATTTGAAACTTAGCCTTTAGCTGGCAAATTGGAAAAAAATGTTGTGACGTTGTCCAAAATTGGATTTTTTTAATTTTCTTGTTTTCATAAATTCTGAGAAATTTTAAATTTTAAAATTCAAATTGGGAATTTTTACTGTTGTTTGCTGAAGACTTGGGACCAAATATCGACCTCTGAGCAGGTCTAGATAAATCCTGGGATGTGATACTTGTTTCTATGGTGAGGCCTTTCCTTAATGAGATTATTATGAATTATATATGAAGTACATCAACTGCCTTACTAATCCTTAGTTAGGTCAGTAAACTGTAGGAGAGGTGGACTGACGACTATCTAGGCATGTACATGTATGTGGAGGTAATTCTCAACAAGAATATTAGGTTACAACTAGGGCAGGATTAATTGCATGGTGTAGTAATAATCTTGTAATACCTGTATTACACAACAACAGAGGAACCTTGCCATGTTAGATTGGAATAAATTGATTAAACTTCAGAAACACAGTTGGTGGGATGATCTATGCAAATACTTATCTTCATGCCAACAAGAAATGGTTTGACGCCACTTAAACAATATTCTAGTTATGACACAGCATGTCAGTCCCTGATGAATTCTGCTGTAAAACTACCAAATTCTGTGGCTAAAATTACAAAATTATGCAGTTAATTCTGAAGTAAAAACAGAACCATTTCCTCCTTAAAAATTAATACCAAGTCATTTTTTAAAATAAGTGTGGTGAGTGATAAAAAAGGGCAAATCGGGTGTTTTTCTGCAATTTTTGTAATTCTGCAAATCTTTCATGCCAACAAGAAATGGTTTGACGCCACTTAAACAATATTCTAGTTATGACACAGCATGTCAGTCCCTGATGAATTCTGCTGTAAAACTACCAAATTCTGTGGCTAAAATTACAAAATTATGCAGTTAATTCTGAAGTAAAAACAGAACCATTTCCTCCTTAAAAATTAATACCAAGTCATTTTTTAAAATAAGTGTGGTGAGTGATAAAAAAGGGCAAATCGGGTGTTTTTCTGCAATTTTTGTAATTCTGCAAATCTTTCTGCAACCGCTGAATTACAGAATTTATCTGGGACTGGCTTGATGTCAGCTTGATGCAGGGGGAAATCTCACAGTGATGCAGTTTCTCGAATGTGAAACTCAGAAATTTAATCAGGACAATCCAAGATTCGAACTCGAAATATTCTTCCCTAAAATATTTTGAAAATTATATGATTTATTGATTCCGATGAAACAAGTAATCTATATGTTGTCACCTTATCATGCTAATAGTACCACTTTAGTTAAATAGCACAACAATATCAGTAATTCCGTTACAATATCAGAAGTGTTTGTATGTTTAATGTTTTTTCAGTAACAAGTACATGTGTGCACTGAAAACATCCATCACTATGAACACAGTCTCGCCTGCTGATATATCCCCCATGTTTTATTAATGCCCTCTTTTTCTTTCAGGCTTGTGTGTGATGTGAGCGATGTTGTCCTGCCCGACTTCCCCTGTTTGAGCAGCAGCGCCTGTGACAGACTGCCAGCTTCATCATGACGACCCGGTGCTTGATGGCGTTTGATTATGCTGACTGGCATGCACGCAATGTGCTGCAGAAGCAGTCCCAGGTAAGATGGTGTTGCAGTGGGTCATCTTCGTCATCTGTTTCACATTGTCAGCATATGTTCTGGTGATTATTGCTTCATTCAAGTACAGAGAGGAAACAATTAGATGTTCATCATAGACATTCCTAATCTCTGCCGTGTGCTCGCTCAGAAGGGGAGGCGATTATTTCTCCTTGGGTACACTACAATATATTACTGCTCAAAAGAACTTAAAGAACACTCGATTCTTTCATATTACTATAGTTAATCTGTCATGCCATGATAATAACTATAGTAATATGAAACAATTGGGTCCCAGGACAGTTTTACTATAGTAATATGAAACAATTGGGTGCCATGACAGTTTAACTATAGTTATATGAAACAATTGGGTGCCATGACAGATTAACTGTAGTAATATAAAACAGTTGGGTGCCATGACAGATTAACTAGTAATATGAAACAATTGGGTGCTATGACAGATTCACTGTAGTAATATGAAACAATTGGGTGTCATGACAGTTTAACTATAGTAATATGAAACAATTGGGTGCCATGACAGTTTAACTATAGTAATGTGAAACAATTGGGTGCCATGAAAGTTTAACTATAGTAATATGAAACAATTGGGTGCCGTGACAGTTTAACTATAGTAATATGAAACAGTTGGGTGCCATGACAGTTTAACTATAGTAATATGAAACATTTGGGTGCCATGACAGTTTAACCATAGTAATATGAAAGACTCGGGTGTTCTTTTTCTTTCAGTCACATATATATATATATATACGATGCTTGCACAATGTTTCACATAAGTTCGTTTCAAGGCGTCAATAGTGGTATTCTGACCGTGGTTGCTGTAAATAACAGTGAATTGTGCGATCTTCCGATCACTTCACACACGATCTCGCCGAAATTAATTTAAACAATATTAAAAGGAATTTTGAATAAAATTAATGAAATAACTTACAAACAAAAGTCCAGACATACAATGAACACTTTTTATAACCAGACCGTGTAATTACAAGATTACATTGTGTATGGCGGTATGGATTTGTTGACATGGTATTTCAGTTGTTAAGTGCTCACATTAATGTCTTTTGAGTTTGGGGGGAAAAAACCATCAAAACTCATTATGGCGTGTATAATGCGCACCCCCTTCCACACAGCTGTGTTTTTTTGGAAAAAAAATGTGCACTATACTCAAGAAAATATGGTAATTCTTTTCCCTGCATGTTTATCATGTTTATGCAAGATTATTGTTATTTCCCAATTTTCATGGATGAGCCATCCCCAAAAGTTGCCAAATGTGATTTTTATTTGAAAACATGAGTTCAAATGCCAACATTTAAAAATGGTTTTAACATTTACTATAAGTAGAAATTGGAAGGAAGAAGGAAAAAATTAATTTAACCTGTTTATTAAGAAGGAAAGAACCAATTAGAAACATTGCTTTGGCCTTTTGGGAAAATTACCTTTTTTCCTATTACAATGCAAAATGATAACAATTATTTATTTCTACGTACATTATATATGTGTAATGAAATGTTTGCTCATATACCTTGAACACCAACCCCAGCTAAAAGTTTAAATCCAACTGTGTAATCACAACCTCAATCTGCCTGATACAAAAGCCTTGTAACACATAAAACTGTTTATGTCTTTCCCAAAAAAATTACCACTTCCGTAATGCCAAAGTCCTTTCCAGATGTAACACAGCAAAAAAGGAATCATTGCATGGTTTGTTACCCCCACCCAAACCTATAAATTGGCTCCCGAAGGTCTCTGTTACTATGGCAATATGCCATTTTCTTGGCCAAGGTGTGTCTTGGTTTATGTAGCTGTGTAGTCCGTGTATACTGACAGCTCCAGCATCTGTAGCCAGAACACAATAGCATCATACCACAACTCCCCTGGGGCGAGGCCCACTTCAACAAGCCCACAGAGATATCTCCTATCTCAACTTATCTCAGCCTCCACTGAGGTCAAATCAAACCTTACTCTCTTACCCAGCTAGACTAACATTTGTATCTGTGATATCTCTCTTTTATGAAGTTCTTCTTGTGGTGATTTCAGCTAGCTTGACATGCCTATTTTTTATGTCGATTGGTTTTGATCAAATTAATTAGAGAATTACCAACAGGTTCTGAGGAATTATGAACCCCTGAGTGAATGAATGTTGTTACCGTATTCGACGTAATAAGCGCCCCGCTCTAATAAGCGCCCACGGCGATATTTGCTAATATATTGGCTAGTGAACAATCCCAATTAGCACCCCTTCCGATTGATCAATATACACAAGACTTATTGATTCGCATATAATACGCTCTCGTGTGTTATATGCACCCTTAATTATGGGCAATTAAATTCTTGAAAAATATATCTGTCATATATAAACATTTCAGGCTGTCAGCATAAAACCTCGAAATTTATCCTTTAACTCTATTTTTTCTCTTCACCAAAATAATTTTCTAATAAGAGCCCCCTATATCTAATTTTGAGAGCGCCCTGGGCGCTTATTACGTCGAATACGGTTATCCTGAGCCTTAAGGCAAGGGACTTACAGCATTGCTGGAGAATTACATGATACCCAAGCCCTTTCTTCTCCAGCCGTGTTATTCCAGTCACCTGTCCCAGTTCTATAGTTATGAGTTTTTAGTTCTGAACTTTGTTATTTCAGGGTTTGAACTTTCTTGTACAGTAAACAATGGTTATAATGAACTCAAAGAGACCACTAATTTTAGTTCATTATAACTGTAGTTGGTTATTCGCATATATACAGCATATATACAGCATATATACAACACAAAAATAAGTTTGTTATATCGGTCAGTTCGTTATAAGCTTGTTTGTTATAGACGTAGTTTACTGTATTAAAGTCACATCGGCACAGTGAGAATAAGTTCCTTGTGCCTAAAGGTCACACTTAGAAATCCCATTTTTTAACAAGAATACCCCGTGGCAATGTTTATTGCATGAAGCCAGTGATGTTAGCTGTTTGAGATGCTGATAAAAAATATTGATAGACTTTGAAATGGGCCCACTGTTCATTGTCTACATAACTGTAAACTACTCAGCCATTTTATTGACCATTTCCACATGTACAAAGACTGTAGGGCTGGCACGAGTCCATATTTACATCCCGGGTACTCGAACCCCCCCATTACCTGACCCTACCCACTGTAGGTTTCAAGAGTTTGAACATTATATCAGATTGGGATGTGTTTTTCCGAAGCCATGGCAAATGCTATTTTCATACATGTATCAAACGATCAGATCATGCATACATTGAAGTTGACTGAAGTTATATCTTTTCTCGAACGTATCAAAGTGAGAAACAATGCGTACATAGTCTGAAAGAAATGCAAACATAAGCGACTTTATTGTTATTGTATTTAAAGAATATATCATGTGACTAACCACGGGTCCAGGTAGTTCTGTGGGTACTTGGGTCCTACTCAGGATCCATCTGAACCGAGTACCTGAGTTAACTGTCCAGGCCCCAAAAGACTGGTGGGTTAAAATTCTATAAAATATTTCCAGCTGCAGCCAATGCCACATTTGTATTGCTCATATAACTTGTGTATAAACACCATTCAAATGTGGAAATAGATTAAGTCTATCTCTTTTGTAATTTTGATAATGAACAACTGTTTCCTTGTCAGTAACCAGCTAAAGTCAGCTTGTTCCAACTATTCTGTCACTTCCTGTTGGGTCGGTGGGATAGCCTAGCCGTCAAAGCGTTCGCTTATCACCCCAAAGGGGGGGCACGAGTGGCCCAGTCGTCTAAGGCGCCGCGATTTGCTGTGCAGAGTTGTGTCCCTTGGGCATGCCAGAAACCTATGATTGTGGGTTTGAATCCTGGTTCGCCCCGATTATGTTTCTAGGTTTGTCAGCACCATACCCTTGCTCGTGGGTTTCACTGAAGTGGTAAACGTCTGAGACCTGCTTCACTTCCATCTTTCCTCCCACATTAAGCTGACTCGCCGTGATATAACTTGAATACTGTTAAAAGCGGCGTAAAACCCAACTCACTCACTCACTCACTCACCCCAAAGGCCAAGGTTTGTTTCCCCAAGGATCTGAGGACATCCCATTACTGGTCACGTCACAAACCTTTCGTCCGACCAATCAAAGCCTTGCTTACCAGATCATGAAAGTGACAGTTCTGATGTGTTTTCCAATCATACAACCTCGAAAACATTAATACAGGGTATTCCGAACGACAGTTACTGCCCATTCAACTGTTTCCGTCACAAATTATCGTCTATCTCAGGCTCCCGTGGGAGAAACATTTAAACGGAGAAGGTGTTGCACAGTACATGGGAAGCACTGCTATAAAATCTCAACCATACATTAGATCTTCCGGATGTTTGTTTGGTCAGTTTTCAAAATTTTAATCAAGAACTGTGTCAACTTATTTTTCAAGTGTAGTCAGAAGTGGAAGTCGTCACAGGTTGAAAGCTCGAGAAAGCTGCTTTCTGATTGGCTGATGTCGACTTCTTGTAAGTTATTTCAGTGGTCGTGCAAAGTTCGTGAAAGGTCATTCAGACGTGACCTGTAATGGGATGCCCTTCTCTTTGTTCAGCGGCAGCGAGAACTTAGGTCTGATTTTAATTAGATTGCGTAAAGCTATACTCACTCCCTCAGTCACCTCGTGGTTTACATTACTATTGGTTAGTGTGTTTCATTTTGCCAAAAGTTTTTTATGACTGGAAATCAATGAAAACTGGCTGATTGATTGACTTTCATGTCTGTTTATCCTGTTATGGGTTATGTGATAAGTGTGTTTATTTTGTATAAACAGATATAATGAATGATTGAACAATTATGATAAACAGTGCATGGTTGTTATCTTGTCCTCAACCAGTCATTACAAACACAAACACTGTTAAAGTCAATCATTGCATTATACAGGGTAATCTTAGTGGAATTTTCTTGTTCAGATTTTCCGCTATATTATTCTAATCTAGGGACTCCTTCAACTAGGTGTCAACTATTGTATTTGAACATTTTGAATTTCG